GCTATAAAAGTCTAAAATGAATCTTTGCATGACATTGAACCAATACTCTAATACCTCCAACAAAATTTATTTGCCCACTTGCTTTAAATTTAATCTTCAAACTATTATGAATCAGATTTTAATAACTAACCAGATTTTTTATGATAAAATATAAATTTTTTGTGATAAAAAATAAATAACTATATTTATTTTTTGTGATAACTAAGACAACTAAAGAAGACATTTCAAAATTAGCACATATTTCCTGTAGGCTAAGAATTTACATTAAGTAGAAAACTCATTGTTAAGATAAAAAATAGTGTTTTATAAGTGACTGAAAAATACTTTGCATTAAGAAGCAACGAAGCAATGGCTCACACCTGTAATCCCAGCAGTTTGGGAGGCTGAGGTGGGAGGATCACCTGAGGTCAGGAGTTTGAGACCAGCCTGGCCAACATTGTGAAATGCCGTCTCTACTAAAAATCCAAAAATTAACCAGGCATGGTGGTGGGCACCTATAATCCCAGCTACTTGGGAGACTAATGCAGGAGAATCACTTAAGTTTGGGAGCCAAGATTGCGCCATTGCACTCCATCCTGGGTGACAAGTGCTAGACACCACCTCAAAGAAACAAAAAAGGAAATAATGAGATTCAAATAAAAATGGCTAAGTTGATCTTAATGTGGTGGTGTTATGTTTTCATAAAAGTAGTCTATGAATAAATTCTAGATGTTTGTATATTTTTGTCTTACTATAAAAATCATACTTGTAAATAAGTACCTTGATCATGAGGAAAAAAACTTTAAATGTTCATCCTTATTACATGCCAAAATACAATTACAAATAAAAATTTTGATTTCTAAGCACAAGTCAAACCTCTTCATAATACTATACCATGTACCAAATTGGTCTATCCATTTGAAAAAAAGGTAAGAACTCACTAAGAGAGAAGTAATGTTTATAAGTAAATAAAATAAAATTTTGTTTCATTTAGGATACTAATTAAAATAATGAATTAATAGATTATCAAACCTCACTTAGATTAGCAAATTTTACAAAGGCATAATCATTTAAAACTGATTGGTGTAAGTATAGAATTTTCTTTAAAAATTAGCAGCAAGAAAAGAGATAAATATTACTAAATAACATTTAGTATTATAATTTAAGATATAATTTAGAGAGAAATTACAAATCAATTGATAAGGGAAAAATCATCTCATAAACACAATTGGGTTAGATGGTTTCAATTCGGAAAAAATATTAGTTCAGGTACCCAATGCATAATAACCTAAAATAAATTATGATTGGATTAAATAGTTGAAATATTAAAAAATCAAAGTTAAAAGGAAAAAAGAAAATTGAACTTTTAATAAAACTTCTGGATAATAGATGACTTTTTAATCTTAGAAGCAACATATTTATGAAGTTATGTAAAGATAAGTAAATATATAAAAATATGTGTTCATATGATACATGTGCTTGTGTATTTGCCCACAAAGAGAATAATATATTTGGTCAAACAAACAAAAATTAAACAATACATATGCAAACCAATTAAGTTAAAAAGAAAAAGAGAAACCTACCACTCAAATAAAAAGGAAGAAATAGAAAACAGGAAAAATGTGGAGAAAATGTGCCAGAATTGGAGTTAATTATCTGAATATAGAGCTCATACAACTTGATAATAAAAATATGCCCCAATCTGACCCACATAAATGGGTGAAGGGTATGAACAGAACATTTAAAAGGGGGCATTACAAACTCAAAAATATATAAATTTATATTCAGTATACAAGCAAACAAAAAAACATAAAATATAAGAAAAATATTTAAAATTATTAAGTTTATATTTAAAAAATACTTAAAATGCCAGCAAATGCTTATACTGAAACAGGTCCTCAAACTTTCTTGGTGGAATTATGAATTGATTCATTCCTTCTAGAAAGCAAATTGGCAGTATGTGCTAAATAATAACAGCTGGATATCCTTTATCCCAGTCATTCTACTTTTACATATATACGCTTTCAAAGGTATAAAATATGGTAAAAAATATATTCAAGATGAATACCATCAACACATTATTTATAATAAACATTTTTTTTTTAAAAATCCCAGAACAAACCAAGCAAGCCTTGGTATCCAATAGTGAAGGAATATTTATGCAAGTGTTACACAGTTCATGTTTAATGAAGTAAATCTTCAGAAAACTGCTTAGTAATATGAGAGAAATGCTTGCAGAGTTAGGTGAAAAAACTGAGAATGTTAAATTATTTGAACGCTACAACTAAAACATTTTTAAAAAGTGATTTAAATAGGGGAAAGACCAAGGACATACAAAAAGATGTTAGGAGTGAGTATACTGGAGCAGAAGAGTTCTGGGTGAATATTTTCCCTCTCTTTCAAAATTTCTATCTGATGTTACATCATCTTTATAAACAAATCATTTGAAAATCAAAATATGGTTTGGCACTGTGGCTCACACCTGTAATCCCAGCACTTTGGGAGGCCAAGGCAGCAGACCACTTGAGGTAAGGAGTTTGACACCAGCCTGGCCAACATTGTGAAACTCTGTGTCTACTAAAAAAACAAAAATTAGCCAGGCATGGTGGTTCATGCCTGCAATCCTAGCTACTTGGGAGGCTGAGGCATGCGAATTGCTTGAGCCTGGGATGTGGAGGTTGCAGTGAGCCAAGATCGTGCCATTGTACTCCAGCCTGGGGAACAGAGCAAGATTCTGTCTCCAATTAAATAAATAAATAACAATATTTACTAAAATTATGAACTAATTTAAAACATATACCTATAGTAGGGTACATACACACACACACACACACACATATATATACTTTCATAACAAAATTTTAAATACATTTGGTTATCATGCTTGAAAGCATTTATATGAAAATATATAATTGTTTACCTGGAGGCATTATGTGACAAACTGTTCATTTCTTTTTCAGAAACTCCTACCATCTTCCTATTTTATATTTATAAATGGTAAAAGATATATTTATTTAAAAAAAGACTTGCAGTATAAAACAAACATTAATTCATTGAGTATTATCTCCTCATGGGTTTGTTATAATAATAGAAGTGTTTCATGGTGGGGAATATAATTTTAACATCCAATGGAAAAGATCAGAAGTATATGTAAAGTTTTAAAGTCATGCTTAAAAGAGAAAGAAGAATGAAACCATTTATACTCAAAACGAGTCATAAAATATGACATAACCAGACATAAACTTCGCAGAACCCAAATCCCACCAGAAAGTAGGTTCTCTGCTACAATGTAATGATGTAAACTGATTTCATGGTTCTTTTTTTTTTCAGCTATTTTAAAGGTAATCCCTTTTAAAGCCCTGACCTTTTAGCTATTACTTCAAAGGAGAAGCATCATTTATACTTTCTCTTAACTGTTTATCTACATTTGCTACAACTGGGGGAGGCTGTTAGTGCAGTCAGTAAATTCCCTATGGTTGGCTTCCTTTTCTTTCTTTACATCAGAGTCCATTTAAGGTTGTGTTAAGAGATTACAGTCATAAATGTATGTATTTTGTGTTACACCTGTTCATTCAGAATTTCCCCAATGTATAATGCTGCAGTGGTGTTCATTCAAAATCCAGTTTTAGAACCAGGCTAACTTGTAATTGTTTTTACAGCTTTCCAAAGGATATAAAGTGTATTTACGAATAACTGTTAAGTAGTTTAACAGTACTCTAAGTTCCTATTGGTCTTTGTTTTGTTTGAAACTGAGAAGTAGTTTTGAATAAACTAAAAAGGCAAGAGAAAGTGAGGAAAGACTTCATTTTCTAGTTGTTCTTTAATAGAATGAAAAATAAGTGTACTGAGCAACCGATGCAGTGATCTGAAATAGCCCTAAAACTAAATGGGTGATTGTGATGAATTTGCCTTCTACAAGAAAAACTTCAGGCCACATATCTTTAGACATCACTTCTAAGAAAGCCATGTCATCTAAACTATTTGAAAAATTTCTTCCACTTTCTAAAAATGCAATATAATTATTTCATACCATACTTTTTCCTTACTATATTTATAAACTACCACGTGAATTTGGTATAATAAATCTGTACATTTATTATTATGCTCATTTATAGGCTTAGAATATACTTTTACTTCCAATTGTATTCATAATTATCAAATTTTTAAAAATTTCAGATAACTCAAGTTTGATTTATCCGGTGTTAAGTCTCCAAGAAGGAATTGCAAAATTGGGCTTAAAAGATAATTAGCCCAATTTGAGGTTATTTCCAAATATAAATTTGGCAAAGGGTAGAAACCATGTATCTCAAAGCATACACACATATATATACACACATATGATTTTCTAAAGTAAGATTTTTTTAAACTCTCAAACTTCAACAGATCCCTATAGTGTAAACATCAAATCCAAGGCTTCCTGGTTGGATTTACTAAGTCTGAGCTCAAATTGCCTTCTAAGTCTTGATTACTTTGCATGATTACCAAAAGAAGGATGAAAAGCGGGATTCATAAAGTCCCTAAGTCCTGATTTTAGCTATAAGCTTTTACATCACCAGATTTACAAAAAACAAAACAAAACAATCAAATCAAATTTAACGTAAATTTTAAGTGATCAGCAATGGCAGCAGGGAAAGAAAAGCAAATGACTGCAAGTATTCAGAGCCTATATAATTGAGAATTATAGTACACATGGCAGACTAGAAATAATACTTTCATATCACTTTTATGCTGTATTTTTCCTCTAAAGTACGTCCTCATTTTTCAATGTAATACAAGGACATCAATGTCTTAAGTCAATATTTATATGTGGCCTCTTTAAATTTTGAAGTGTATTGCAAATAAGAATATACATTGTTTATAAAAATATTCAGTTTAATTATATACTTTTCTAAAATAAAAGCAAATACTCTTTTTCTACCTACCTGCATTAAGACAGTTATAATTCGCTTCAATATTGTAAATACTGTTCAGTCATATCCAGATGCACATGTTTTTTCTTTTTCTCCTAAAAGTTATCTCACCTTGCATTTTGGACACTTCTGGGCATTCCTCTGCCCATGCTCAATTTCGCTGGCCCAGTGACGCAACAATTTGTCTCCTTTTTTGTACTCCTTGCAGTTAACACCTTCATGCCAAGGAGAGTGGCACTTAAAACACCAGATGAATTGGCAGGTAGGGCACTGGATCTGTGTAAGAAAAAAATTGCATTAATTACTCGTGGATACCCTGAAAGTGTCTAAAAGAATAAGCAGGTGATGCTTGGGGAAATCAGCTAAAAGTTTATGCCTTCCTCTCTTTAAGACCAAAACTACGCTAAGATATGGAGACTCTGTTACTAGGCGAAAGAATTGCTTTCGCAAGGATGACTTGGCTATTTGGAGTTAAACATTTGGTTCTGGAAACTAATTTCGCTTTAAGAAAATCTCCCAGATTGAAGTACAATCTCCCAGATTAGATTTGAAGGCTCACAAGGCCCCAGTTCCATACACATAGGCTGCCCTTTAACTCACATTTCCCTTTAACAAATTAACCAGCCATTTCCATTGTCTTCTTAAGAACAGCTTATTTCATTTTATTTTTAAAAAGCCCTACAAATGCTTCATCAAATAAAAAACACAGTAGCAGTCCCGGTGGCTTAGGCCTGTAATCCCAGCACTTTGCAAAGGAGGCTGAGGCAGGTGGATCACTTGAGGTCAGGAGTTAAAGACCAGCCTGGCCAACATGGTGCAACCCCATCTCTACTAAAAATACAAAAATTAGGTAGGCATGTTGGTGCATGCTTGTAATCCCAGCTACTCGGGAGGATGAGACGAGATATGAGAATCACTTGAACCCAGGAGGTAGAGGCTGCAGTGAGCCGAGGTCGTGCCACTGCACTCCAGCCTGAGCAACAGAGACTCTGTCTCAAAACAACAACAACAAAAACTCATTAACAAACAAACTGCTAGAACAGCATTTGCTATGAAGTACCACCTAAAATAATGGATACTCCTGGTTTGCTACCAATATAAGGGAGGCTTTCTATAAAAATCATGCAAAGCATTCTGTTGTTATAAATATATCAGTATGGCGGTCCTGCAGCCAGTACTTAGCCATCAGAAACAGACCTTCATCTTTCTATGAGGCAGTATATGACAGTGCATATGTAAGCTCAATGAGAATATCTGTCTTCCACTTGATATGGAAGATATTTTATCTGACTTCCTTTGTTTGAATGATAGTGGAATATTCCATTCATACACATTATTTCCATTCCTAACTCTCTAAAAGAACAGGGGTATAACCTGACTTGCAGAGCCCCATGTGATTACAATGAATTAATAACATGTCTCATTATAGCCTGGTACGGTGGCTCATGCCTGTAATCCCAGCACTTTGGGAGGCTGAGGCAGGTGGATCACAAAGTCAGGAGTTCAAGATTATCCTGGCCAATATGGTGAAACACCATCTCTACTAAAACGTAGAGAAATCCTGTCTCTACTAAAAACACACACACAAAATAAAATTAGCTGGGCATAGTGGCATGCACCTGTAGTCCCAGCTACTCCGGAGGCTGAGGCAGAAGAATCGCTTGAACCTGGGAGGCGGAGGTTGCAGTGAGCTGAGATCGTGCCACTGCATTCCAGCCTGGGCAACAGAGCGAGTCTCAGTCTCAAAAAAAGAAAAAAAGTCTCATTATGAATTATATTTATAAGTGAGCATTCTCTTTGCTCCTCTACCTTACGTCACTGCAGCATGGGTGAATTCGCTGACTACACTTTAAAAGTTAGATTTCCGTCGGTAAACTGTACGCAATATTGTCACTTAATTTTTTGGGAAAACACGTTTTTGACAATGGTAGTTCTACTATGGAGATTAATTAGCTTAGTGTCAATGACAATCACAGCTCTTCTGTTAATGGCTCAAGCACTGTAGTTTTCACTTATGTCAAGAATGGATAATGTTCTTCCTGTGCAAATATGAAATAAAAGTACTTTTGTTGTTAACTTTATATAAAAATAGCATTTTGTCATAAGGATTATAAGATCCTAATGTTTATTTATGTATTAAAATTCTGTTCAATGGTAATGTCGATGCTGAATATATTGTATGCATTATTTATTTTAATCCTCAAAATAACGCTGTAAGGTAGACATGAACATCCCAGTTAATAGATGATAAAAATGAGGCTCAGAAAGAATAAATAACTTGCCGAAGGTAACACAGCACATGGGTGTTAAGAAGGAATTTAAACATCAGTTTGGCTCCAACGTTAGCATATTTTTCACTACTCTTCTTATACTAAACAGTATTTGTTCTTTGACAACTGACAACTTAAAATGTAGCAGTCAAAGATGGTCATATCATTTAACTATTCAGTAAGTCAGAATTCTACATCATTACCAAGATAAGGTGAACTTTGAAAATTCTTTTCAAGATCTACTCTGTACAAATTGGGGAACTACTTGGTTTAACTAAAAAAATGAAAGAAGGAAAAAGGATGTTGCTATTTAGTTATTTAAAATGTTTTTTCCTTGTGTGATCATTACAATTAAAATTAATCATTTTTAAAAGAAAACAAGTTGAAGAAGATGAGATTCAGCTAAGAAAACATCATAAAATGTTTACTTCCATTTGTCATTGAGTGAGGAAGACTAGATGTAAATATCGCATGGGGCCTTCCTTTGAATATAATGAATGAAAAGAGGAAAGTAAGAAAAACACTGCTTTTGTTTAGGCATCTACCATTAGATTGTTCAGAGGACCTGAACAATTAATTCAGTTATCTTCTATTGGACATTATTCATAATTCTGACTAACTAGATTCTGGCAACATTAAATAAATTTTTTGAAAAGATCTCTCGGTTTTTAATCGGTGTTAGGTTATATTTATGAAATGAATATTAGAATAAATGTAAAGATGCTTTGAAACTGGGATCTGCTCTATAAATGTAAGACATTTAGTGGCTCAAAGATCTTTGTGACTAAGTGCTGAAGTATCACATTCGTGAATCTCTAATGAAGACAATTATAGCAATGCATGATTCTCCTAAGGCACCAGAATAATAAGGAATCTGACACTTTGTGTCCAAACTAGGGACTCTGGCTTATAATAAACAACCAAGTCCTGCTGCAGATCCTATTGCAAATCCTCACCAACAGCACAGACTTAGTGGCAAACTGTGACCAGAGTTATGGGGCAGGCTCTCAAGTGAATATGAGTAAGTTAAATTCGTACTGGATTGCTTACTATCTCTCACTGAAAACATCAAAATCACTCTTTATTTACTTTGAATTAAAATCATACAAAGACTAACAGCCAACCCCAACAACTTTGGTATTAAAAGTCTACATCTCAAATTGTTCGATTTCTGGTTTGAAGATGCCTCAGTCATTTTGAACTTAATCATTTTCAAAATTGGCCTTACATAAACAATATAGACATCAACACTGCATCTTCCTCCACTCTTTTATTTACAGTTATTCTTCCACATGAAATGTCATCTCATAACCACAGACCCACCACATGGAATGCCTGACTTCTGAGTAATTACAGTCACACAGAAATCATCATGCTCTGTTCTTGTGGCTCAAAGCGTGGTCTCAGGGCCAGAAATATCAGCATCACCTGAGAACTTGTTGGAAACACAGAATTCATGAATCCTTAGACCTCAGAGCCAAAAGTGCACATTTTCACAAGGTCTACAGGTGATTCATACGCATCCTAAAGTTTGAGAAGCACTGCTCCATACCAAGTGACTCCATCACCCTGGCCATAATTCGTTGGATCAGGAATGAGAACCTAAGCCAAAAACACATATTCACTAGTTGGCAAGCTGCCTAAGCAGTGGCATGAGCTTTGTGCAGCCGGGCTGCTTGCTCATTGTTGAATGGATAGCCAAGATCAATTTTTCTCTCTTGAGGAGTGTCATGAAAATACAAAAGATGCTTTCATGGAGACAAACACAGAGAAGAGCTGAGTGACTCCAGTGCAGACCACTGGTGAAGGAAACAGACATTGACTTCCGGTGAGATGACAGAAAGGTTCTCACACTACACCAGCTTGTATCTGATTCTTTGTGTGGCCTGCCAGGGCAGCTGCGGAGAGCGTTTTCCTCCCCTTCCTACTCCCCATAAAGCCTTCCAGTAAACCTCACTAATTGAGGTAGCCCAAGAAATAGCACATTTCTGCTTCTGGTAACTGGAAGAGTTCAGTGAACTAAGTCTATTACAATCTTATCTTCAGCAAATGCTCCTTTCTTTAGGACGTCTTCCCTATTCCTTGCAACCAGATTCATTACCTTTCTTATGGAAGTCCCATCAAGCATGTAGATGTCTAATCTCTCCAGCAGCCCACAAGTGCACTACTCAGTGAACTGTGTTTGTCAAAGGCGTTGTCTCATGTAAAATGAAGGATTTTGCACACAGTTTCGGTACCACATATCAGTTAACATTTAATGAATTCAAAGAAAAACCAACATATCTAATTTATGACTTGTGGCTGAGATGATATTGCAAATTCCTATATTATCAGATGTTTATTAAATATATTATCCTAATGACTTTTCACTGAGCACTATGATTACTACACAAACTCTTCCAAAAGAGGCACGCAGGGTTGCAAGTGCTTCAAGAACAAAGTTATCAGAGCTCAGAATCTTGATGAACTTTCTCCAGAATCCACAAAAGATAAAAGAACTTTGTTATATTTTTACTTCTGAATACCCTTAGTTATCCCAGAAGTCTGTGCTACACTGAGATGAAAGTACACAGCTCGCCTGCCCTAAGAAAATGGCATTTTCTCCTGATAATTCATCAAGTCGAGTAAGGAAATAACCAACAAAATAAAAACAGTATCGAAAACCAAAGAAAACCCCAGATCATTATTTTCCCGCCTAAATTCTAGATACCCTTATACACATTATTTAAAATAAATCACAAAATCATTGCTCATCAAATTCAAAATACTAAACAACATTCATGTGTAAAGTAGCACTGCAAATATAAGGGCTAATTCTAATAAAAGAATTGGCTTTACTAGAACTTCTGGTTCAGATTCTCAATAATGAAGCACATTTATCAATTCATTTCCCCATTTGACAAATATTTATTGGGTACCTTCAAATAGCAGGGACTGTCCATATTGATCATAAGCAGAAAAGAATGAAAATATTTGCCCTTAAGGAACTTACTGGGGTCTGACAGA